TGTATGTTAACAGGCATTGGTGCCTGTTTTTAAATTGCCGGTGTTTCCAGCTCGCGCGCGCCCTGCGGCGTGCGCAGGTGGGCGTGGCTGAGCGGACGTCTAAAGACGCCCGCTCAGATCTAGAGACCTCTCGGCCGGCCGTTTTTTTACAACGGCCGGCCCTGAGGTGGTTAAATGATGCCTTTTTATTCGATAATCTTCTTCTTTACTGTTCTTTTCAGCCGTCCCTCCAGCGCTGTTGCGGGTCTCCGATCCAGCGCTGACGCCTCTGTCCTCCTCTCCTCTGATTTCCCAAGGTGTCTGTGCGGGTGCACACTGCTCCATGGACTTAACTTGTGTCTCTCCTTGTCTCTCGGCTGAACATCTGAACTGCGCAAGATACTTCGCGGCCGCCTGAGACCGGGAGTGCGCGGCGAAGACACAGGTAAGTTTAAACCTGTTTCAAAAGGTTTAAAAAAAAAAAAAGTTTTTGCATATATCTACTGCTTGCTAGCAGTAGATAAATGCAAAAAAAACGTGAGGGTTTAATAACCCCCTAAATCTTTGGTTTTGGGGTTAGAAATGCTTGAGGGTAATGCACTTTAACAAGTGACATAACGTGAGTTTATGCAGGTTTGTTAAAGCACGCCAACAGCCCAAAGAAACATGAATGGGCATTATAGAAAATCGAGAGAATATGGAAACTGCCATTGCTGACTTCTTCATCTAAAAATGCTGATTGGTTAGCTGTCATCCTGATCCAATGGCTTACTACATTTCTAATCTGCATACTTGTTTAAAACCAGTGACTTAGACAAAATTGAGGTTGGAGACACCCAGACAACTAGCAATTGTAGAGGGAGCCATTTCTGTAATGTATATCTCAGTATAAGTTTTCTTTAACGTCAAGTCTCTGTTATCTGATCCAGTTACACACAAAGAAGTCAATGAAGCTAAACGAGAGGATAAATAGAAAAGTAAGCGAGCCTTCATAAATATAATAATGTAAGACTGACTATTTAGATCCCTGGTTATTGATCAACAAACTTCCAACATGTAACTGAACCATTTAAATCTGCCCTAATTTTCATAACAGATAATGACATGTACACTGGAGTCATTACAAGAGCAGATAAACATACAACATAATGCAAAATGCATCGTTAGTGCAAATCAAACACACAATCCCAGTATTAAAAAGCAAACCTGCTATCCACAGGAATAATTTATTATGGCCTGTGAAGTGTTCGCCTGTTTCAGTGTATAGCGGAGTACTATACATGTGCTTCCAATAAAAAAAGTAATATTATGGGTATCACTAAGGGGCTTACTACAAAGGACATCACAATTATTGTCTTCTTTTCCACTGTAGATTGCCCTGTGCTGCCACAAAAAAAATGTTCTCTAATGTATGTAAGTTCATCATTTAAAGAAACATTTTTCTCCAGCTTCCCTCTGTCAAAAATAATAGATTGCACCTTGTATAGCCTAGTGTCAATTAGATACATTTATACTGTAAAAAACATAGAATAACTGCCTATTTCCAGCATATATTTTTCGGGTTAAAACTGGTCCTCATCATCCTTTATGCACTGCATGGAAAACTGATTGGTGTGAACCCAGAAAGAATTGCGCAGTATGCTGATTCTATCGTTCTCTTGTTGTTCAAATGCCTAAAACCCCCCCCCAAAAAAACAACACATTATATATACACAAACAATAAGAGGACACAGGTCAGGGTTTATGAAGAAGGTTTATGTGTTATTACCTCGCAAGTGCTTGTATGCTCTGCCTCCCATTCAATGCGGGCTTTGTCCAGTAGAGTAATGTTATTCTTATACAGCTGGTCTAGAACAAAATAATCACAATATCTCATTAGTTTTACTATAACCAAATATTTGTGTTATCACACCTTCACACAGAATAGGAGACGGTGAAACAACCACGGCTGGATTTCCGACACTGAAGAATGTATCCACACAACCTTTGGCGTCCAATCCAACACCCCTGTGCTAGGGTCATCACTTTACTACAGAAGATGTTCTTCTTTTATTGTCCCTATCTGGCCTTAGAATATGAGATAATGGGTAAATAATCTTATTTAAAGGGTGAATGTTTACTGATTATGGGAAAAAATGTGTGGGCAATTACTATACAAAAAACAAAGATGCCACTTTGTCTCTGCTTCCTATAGGCATAGGCCTGCTATGCCTAATGCTAAATCCAGCCATGTGAATTACACATATGATTCAGGGCCTGTTGTATCCAAGGTGCAAGCAGCATTTCATATAGAAAATTCCATTTAAACGCTGTTCAACATCTCAGGTATTTATGAATCATATAAGACAAATTCATTGTGGTGCAGGACTGTATTTACTATAATGACACTCGTGGGCCAGTGCAAGGGAGCAGCTCCAAACCTCAAGCTATATGTTGTTATATTCCTGAGTTACAAGAACATCACTAGCTGTTATGCGACAGCATAAAGCATAACTGAGCAGCCAAGTCTAGTTATCAAAATGCGTCTATTTAGATTGTTATTTCTTAGTGTTTTATCCACCAGGTATATCTTCAGTGAAATCTAAATGTTTAAGTTTTTCCATATGGAGTATTCAATTAAAACAACTTTCTGATCGGTTAGCTTGAGCATTGTTTTTAGCTCAGATTTTTGTAAATGAAAACATGGGGTCTATTCACGAAGCAGCCGAAGGATCTGGCTGTAGCTTCGGCCGATCCTTCGGCTGGCTTCGGTCCCAGGACCCCTTCGGTTCAGTAGAACCGAAGGGCTGCTGTACAGGCTATTCACAATAGCCCGTACAGGTCCCGAACTTAGCCTGCCGAATGCCGCTCGGCGGCATTCGGCTATTCTCTCACTGCTGTTCGGCATCTATAAGAATAGGCCGAACATGCGAAGCTAGCCGATGTACGGCTGATTTTAGCCGATATATGGCTGAAATCAGCCGTACCAGCCTGAAGTGAATAGCCGAACAGTGTTCAGCTCACTTCACTTGGGGTCGGTTGTTCACTCGGCTGCCCTCGGCAGCTTAGTGAATAGACCCCCTTGTGTTCATATTTTGAGAGGGTTATTCACAAAAGGGTGAAGAGTTTGGAGAAGGCAGGAGAGGTGAACAATCTAGAACAGGGGTCAGCAAGTGAACAGATCGTCGACGGCCTCCTCAGCGCGGCTCCGCGCATGAACGTCATCTGGCAACGTGAGGGAAATGGGTGGGACTTCAATTTGACAGCCGGCTCGAGCGATGCAAATACGATGCGATGTCAAATGCGAACAAAAAAATGAGTTTGCGTGCCAGCAGATGTGGCCTCCCGTGCCAAGCTGGGCACGCGTGCCGGGGGTTGCCGACCCCTGATCTAGAACAACATAGCTGAACTGGACAGTGAGTTGAATTGGAGAATGTTTCCAGTTCAGCTATGTTTTCCTAGATTGTTCCTCCAAACTCTTCACCCTTTTGTGAATAACCCTGTAAGTATTTTTTCTCTATTCCACATAATTGTATTCACAGTGGAAATCAGCAGTGAGCTGAAATCTAGCAACTGAGTCAGGGTCACTTGTGGGCTAGGTGGTATTACTCTCTACAAGTATTATATAAGCTGAAGGCTCACTAGGAGAAAGGTTCCCACATATTTGTATTCTACAGACTGCACTTGTACTGCTTTCTGCCCTAACTGAAATACATTATATATTTCTAGGAACTGTACTGAAGATTAAAAAAAATAAGATAAAAAAGACAAATAAAATCATTATAATGAACAAATGCAGTCTTTAGTAATTCGGGTGTAATGTAACCATCTCAGAACAGTCTGCTACAATTTCATATGATAACATTCATACATCAGTATATTTCAGATCTGGGAGATCTGAAGTAAAGCAAGTTTTGATGCCCTCTAGTGGCGTAAGAAAACATAGCAGTTTTTAGTATAGTTTAGTAGTATTTATGTATATATATATGTATATATATGTATATATATTTTTATTTTTTATTTTGCTGGGCAATGTATATTTGTTTGATATAGATTTATTACTGGAAAGATTTGAGGATTTAATACTACTTTAAAACTGAAATCCAAGTTAGAAAAATGTTACTTCCACCAGGTACCCAGAACCATTGGGGAAGGGGGCTTTTAAGACGCTCGATCTATCCCCACAACTTATTTTCATTAAAATATGATTTTATTAAATACACAGCTAAAAGTTAGTTAAAAATAGCCATCGGAAAAGAAATGTACAATTTGTTCATAAGTCCACATAGGTATAGCAAAGTGATTATTTCAATGATATGCAGTCAATATCCACTACTTTAAAAATGTTCATCCTGTTTGTACTAAAAAGACAAATGGAGACACCTAGTGTCAAAACTAATGTATTACTATTGCTTTGGGAAAAACCAGGAGAAACTTGATTCATGAAACAAACACAAACGGAGTGAAAAAGATAAAGAGATTTATTCATATTTACAATAACTTGCAGCCTAGAGTTTGAGAAAATAAGTGTTGAAACATATACTGGTACTCATGGCTCATGGCTCCAGGCTATGTAGATATAGTCCCTGATGTAAAAGAGGCAGCAAGAAAGGCTAATACATTGGGAATTTTTTTTTTTTTAATCATTCCAGGTTATCCAAAGAATAGTGGCACAAATACAAGGAAGGCAGTGTAAAACAGAGGTATATTGGATGAAATATTGGTAACCTAGTCAGTCTGTACTCTGAATGGCTTGCTTACTATAAATATGATTTTTGCATCAAGGTCTTTTGTTGCTGACACTTTGCGATAAGGAGCCTTCTTTAACAATTAACCTCCAACTGAAAAGAGAACACCTTGAACCTCCTTCTGTTGTAGATTTTGTATGTTATGATTGGGTGACGTTTGGGAGACAGAGTTGCCTCTGTGGCTGTGGTCATTGTATGACAGGAAGTGGTTATACATACATAATGGCCTTGTATTTTATTACTAATTAAAAACAAATATTACAATTACATTAACATGTTAAAGCTTATGTGATATTTTAACAACTGGGTTTAGATCCACTTTAATTAAAGGAGAAGTCCGCGAGGAACAGTGCAGTTTTCACATGCTGACTCTACACCGAGAGTTGAAGAAATTGTGTGTCTGCTGATCGCTCAGCTCACAGGCTACCCCTGCAGACAGCAGGGACTGTCAGTCACCACTCCCCCGCAGGGATTCCCCCCCCCCCCTCCCCTCTCTGTTCCTCCAGCGCTCATTTGAGGGACAGCCAGGAGAGGGGGCGGGCACAGCTGCCTTTGGCTCTATAGAAGCAAAGCCAGCTGTCAATCAGGCAGCAGGGTGTATCCCGAAAATATTGTCCGGATCCTTCCCAGCTACAGCATGGCTCTGCACTGTCTGCAGATAGCTCGCCGTGGTGAAAGTTCTCCTCTGACCCAAAAGAGTAGTAAAGCAAAAAAAAAAAAAGGTTTGGCTTTAGTTTTCTTTTAATTCACTCTTCTGAGATGAAAATGTATTCTAACAGAGTAAGTAAAAAAAAAGAAAAAAAATCACACCCAAAAAGTGCACATTGACGCTTTGATATACCAGTAGTATGAAAGGTCTTCACCAGACATGTATCCTCTTCCAGTTACACTCTTTGCATGTTATCTTGGCATATCAATATATCAGCATCATCTTCAAAATCAGTTCAAAGATCTATATACAAAACAGCTTTTTCTGCTGTCTGGACTGACCCTTGATACAAGTGGTCAGTTATACAGTAAATCACAGTTGACATAAATAGAGGTTAATGCAGCAAGCCTGTGTTTCTTAGATATGAAGGTAGGATTAAACACATATGGCACACAGACATGAATATATAAATTAGAATAGAACACAGCTTCTGTACCTGCCTCAGTAGCTGCATCCTTACAATGTTTCAGTTTGTTCTGGCTCTGAAAAGAGAAAAGGATTTCATTTTAAGATTCTGTCTGAGGCTTTATAAGGAAACAACCATTTCATACTGAATGAGTGATAATGTGGTGCTTGCATGTCGCATTTGACAGGAGGTACCGCTTTTCAAATGCGTTCATTGCAATGAATGGGGCCGCACCATGAGTACACACTTGTGGCACAATATTGTAATACAAAATCCCCATTGGAATAAGAAAAAAATACCTGCATTCAGGATGCGACAGTATCACTCCTGGACGCCAGGCAGCCACTGCTCCACCACCCTCTGAAAAGTGATCAGATGCCTTTCCATATGGTGGGAGAGGCTGCCGCCTGTGTGAACTTGGCCTTATGGAGATTCACTCTAATTGTCCTGCTTACCGATATCACCAGGAATGAAGGTGTGGTTAAATCTTTTGATTTGCTTCTGGAACAGGAATAGAGGAGGGATCTTCATTTGGGACACTCGTACCAGTGACAACTGTCTAAGAGGAGATTTCCCTTACAATTAAAAAAATCATCTCTTCCTGTTAAGTCTACATAATAGGAAGTGAAATCTTCCCAATAAGACAAAGATGACCAAAGAAAACAAACAACTGACAGTGGTTTTAATTTTTCCCTACTTTATCCGAAATAATAATTAATTATTAAATTAATAATGAAATAAAATTGGCTTTAGATATGCAATAAAGTGTATTCCCACTTTCGCTGTCAAATTTGACAAAACCAAACTATATGTTTGTTATGTTGTCCCATTCACACAGCATACCCAAAAAGAATTCTAAAAATATTTCTTCCCTTTCTGTTTGTGTCTTTGAAGCAAGATTATACATAGGACTACAAGCTATTATGAACTTTGCAATTTGAGGAACAAACTGATGGGAAATTGCATTAACTTACAATGTACCACTCAAGCCTTGAGATCTTTAACCCTTTGTTGGGACAGCATTAAAACCTAATTTACAACTGATAATGAGATCTGCCAGCACAGTAAAAACAGGATTATTTATGGTAAACATAACTCCCCATCCCTTCCTTAACAATACATATAAGGAGAAAGCTAGGGAGGGTTTTTTAGCAAGTAAGAAGCAAGTTCAAAAGTAAGATATTATTTTTATATATTATTGTAAGTTATGCTATGTGAATGAGAACATGTAACAAATATAAAGTGTGTATTATTGTAATTTAGCTGCAAACGTGGAAATATACTTTAAGATTTTACCTGATGTAGTTCCAGAATGCGGTTTAATATTCTTTCTCATAATGTTTTAAGCTATTTTTAATTAGCTGCTGATCTCCTCTAACCTGCACCAATCCACAGATACCAGCAATAAGCTACCAGCACAGGGAGTCTTCCATCACTAATAACTTTTTTGTGGCTTATACATGTCACATGATCTCCTGAAGAGAGTTGCAAATAAGTTATTAGTGATGGAAGACTTCCTATACAGGAGATGATTGCTGGTATGTGTGTGGATCGCTGCAGGTTAGTAGAGATCAGCAGCACTGTCATTAAATGGGTCCAGGTTGTGCTTCCCATGCATGTGCAGCAGAACCCAATAGATTTATAGGGGATGGGGAGAGAGATCAGTCCTGCTATGTCCTCATAGTATACACATCACATGGCCAGCAGTGCAGATCAAACTATAAAGGGCTACTTCACACTATGCAGTTCCATTGTGGTTTCTCACTGCATACACGTTAATGTGCCATATTTTGCACATTAATGCAAGCTGCATTAGGGCACCGGTTCATCAAGAATGGGTTGTCAATGGACTGCAATGAAAGAAAAACCAAACCTGCACCTTTTGCTTTAACATAGCACACAACAACGCAAAGCACATGCATGGTCGTGTGCTGCAGTACAGGTACTTTGGTGTCAATAGATAGATACCGTAGTTGACATACATAGGCATACTGTGGCACATTAATTGTACGTTGGGAAAGTCATTTCTTACCTTCTCTACTTGTTTGGGATTTCCTGATATGGTCAGACGCTCAAAGTTCTGTTCTGCTTCTTCTGCTTCTCTACATTTTTGTTCATAGTTTTTCTTTGACTAAACAGGAATTGAAAGAGATATAGTTCTGTGATTTGCGGTGACTAAAAATTACTTGTTACAGAAAAAGAGATATACTCTTATAAAACACTTACACCCCCCCCCCCCCCACCACCCCCCGCCACCACCACAC